TTGTGTTCTAAATATTATTGAAATTTCGTCCTCAGTGATATATTGTGGTATATACTGGTATTTAACATGTAAAAGCTAAAGCTGATAACGTAAAGGAAGAAACCTTTGCAATTTGGACAGGGGCAGCCGTACTACCTCTACCTACCTACTTAATACTAATGTCAATGACCGGCCCAGTCGGAGCTATTAGTAGCAATATTTAGATATATATATATATATATATATATATATATATAAGCTAATATATATATATATATATATATATATATATATATATATATATATATATATATATATATAATATATATAGTGATTATACTTATATATATTATTCAGTAGTAATTATACTATTCATAACTATTGATTGTTCAGAATCAAATATCTGAAACTACACAACTTTGAATGCTTATATATTAATTAGCTATTATCTTTATATATTATTTCCAAAGGTATTTTTTTGTTACAAACACAAAAACTTCGTCATCTCTTCATAAAATCCAATCAATCACTGAGCACTCATTTTAAGGATCTTCTACTCCAGAAGAGAAAAATAGTCACATCCTCCCGAAATTTAAGGAAAAAGTTATCAAGGAAAAGGATCTTGATTTACGAATAACTAATAAAAAGTATAAATTTTTCTTGATTTATTAGAAAGACTACTAAATTATTTACAAAAAAAAAAAAAAAAAAATCGTAATATTCGGACGATTACTAACAAAGATACAGTGGATTACAGTGGATAAAGTATTCTTTTAAAATTATTGTTTTCTTATAGAGTTATTTATACTTAATAATCTATCCCAACAATATTACACTAATGTTACCCTATTAATCTTTCAATTTCTTCACTTCTTAACCTTTGGTCCCGTTATCTGTTTATTTACAATTAAAGGTAACCTCCACTTGCTTGTTATCCACTGATATCTTATTATTATGTTATCTTATCCATATTTTAACTTTACTGTAACAATAGTTATTCAATTTTCAATCAATTTATTCGTTAACATTCATTTATTCGTTAACATTCATTTATTCGTTAACATTCATGTATTTATTTTCTTTTATCTATTTTCTTATCATGTATTTATTTTCTTTATCTTTTATTTCTGTATCTGACAACTTCTTCGTAATTTATATATACTTATATTTATTTTTTATTTTATTTTTATTTTTTCAACATGTTTGTATCTTTTGTAGCCCTGAAGACGTTTTTTTATTTGTGTAAATGTGTTACTATGCAGTGAATTTATATTCAGTGGAGCCAACTGATGCATTTGTAGGGCAATCGATATAACCCTCCCGGTCCTCAGCCTGACTGAGATTTAAGCCCCCTCGGAGGAGAAAATAAATTGGTCGGGTCACGTGCAATAACTGGATTTGTCGAATAAGAGCTGGATTTGGGAGCTTAGCAATTGAAAGAACCTCCAAACCTTTTCTATTTGTATTTTTTCTCTTACAAGTGTATGTCTGTCTATATATAATAATCAATTATTGAAATATATTTCCTAACGTGCGTGTATCTTTATAATGAAGTGTTTTATTCATAAAAAAAAATGTTTGATCCAGCCAATAAACTCCTATTAAAAAATAAGGCTGCTGATAATTCGATAACTCTAACATAAAATCGATTATTTTGATATCAACTGGGTTCTAATAAATCAAGAAACATTTATACTTTTTATTACTTATTCGTAAATCAAGTTTCTTTTCCTTGATAATTTTTTTCCTTAAATTTCGAGAGGATGTGACTTTTTTTGTCTTCTGGAGGAGAAGATCCTTGAAATAAGGGTTCAGTCATTGGATTTGATAGAGAAATGACGAAGTTATGGTGTTGCGACAAAAAAATACCTTTTAGAAATAATATATGTAGATAATAGCTAATAAATATATAACGGGTGTGTGCATGAATAGTGTATTATTTAGTATTGGTGTAAAATAAATGATATTTATTTTTATATATGCCGACGTTTCGGACCAAAGTTCAGGCCTTCATCAGAGCTCGACTCACGAGAAGCTCCCGTAAGACTAACTTTTTCATTGGTTTGATTTGGACCAATTTTTTGAACTTAGGTCTTATGGGAACTTCTCGTGAGTCCTGCTCAGAAAAAAAGGTCTGAACTTTAGATCAAAGCGTCGGCATATATAAAAATAAATATCATTTGTTTATTTTTTATTGAACACCCCAACCAACTTCCCTTCAATTATTCACCACAGTCAACCTTCATAACACTTTTATTAATAATTAGAATTTTGAATTGAACAGTCCGTGGTACCCCTTTTCATCAAATTATTAACATCCGCCTAAAACTTTATAAATGGTTTTGTCTTATCGTGACCTACAAATATTTTCTCTACGAAAAATCTCAGAAATAGGGAGTTTTCTCAATAAATAAATTAATTCAATGAATTTCTAAAGAACATATAAATACCCGATTGCTTTCCATTTGAATCGTAACATAATTGGTCTCAAAATCGAAAAAATGGTGGCTTCCAAAAATATTGGGCCGTTTAATTTATATAACCTCGTTATTTTGATATATTTTGCATGGAGGTCACGTCAAACGGCCTAATATTTTTGTAGGCCAATTAATTATCTTAAGATACAAATGGAAAGAAAATGAGTGTTCATTAGTTGTTAGTGCCTAATTAAATAGGCCAACTTTGCCGATCTCCAGATTGAAATTGCCCAAATTCCGAGAATTTTCGTTAGTGAAAAGAAAACATTGCGGTGTGTGCTTTAAACCACAAGATAGTGAAAAAATATTTGAGTGATTTTATTTTTATTAAATTTTATATTTATTGAATAGTATGTTTTTAGAATTGATTAATTTAAAGAATTTTTTATTGGTTTTTTTTTGTTATTTGTATGTAATTGTATTTTTTATTTTAGAGTTTTTTTTTGGGTTTTTGGATATTAGTTGTTTTTGAAATTTAGAATAGATTTATAGGTGGTGGAGTTTTTTTAATTTGTGTTTTAGTTTAATTTGAGGTTTAAAATGTAGAATATTTTAAATAGAGATATTTTTATTAATGAAGTGTGTTGTGTTTGTATGTTTTGTGTTATTGAAAGTTGAATATTTATTTTTTTTGTAGTTTAAATGAATATTTTAAAGAGAGTTAATATAAGGGTGGTAAGGAATTGATATTGAGATTTATTATTTTTTTTTTTTATACTTAGATAATATGAGAATATTGATGTTTTTATAGATTTAAAGATGTAGGTTGAAGTTTTAAGAAGCGTTTAAAAATGTTTTGTGGAGGGTATTTTATTTTTTTGGATTATGTTTAATTTTTAAAAAAGGATGAATGTAAAAGTGAGAGTAGGAAAGGATTAAATGATTAATGAAAAAGTAATGTAAATTGTGGTATGTTTATGTTGTGTTTGTTAGTTAATTTTAGAGGAAGTATGAGTTTTTTAAGGAGTTGTTTTGAGTATTATTTTTAAATGAAGTTGTATATGTTGTGTATTTTTTATTTTTTTAATATTAGAGATTTTTTTGAAATATTTTTATATGAATTAATTAGGTGTTTAATTGTATGTTGGTTATGTAGATGAGGATTTTTGGTATATTAATTATTAAGTTATCGTTATATTAAGAACTTGGGACTGAAATAACCTCTGTCCTCAGCGGATACATCTATTACACCTTTAAGAATAGCTCTATGATCATCATGCTTCAGTCCATCTATTGTATTGATAATATTCTTTAAACAATACAAAATGTTAGATAGTCATCGACGTGAAGATAGGGAAGGAACTTCTTTCTAGATCCCACGCCAATGTAACTTGCTCAATTAGTAACAATTATCAAATGATGCCATGGAACAGAGATCTCGTTACTATAATCATATCAGGATGGAAAGAAAGTAGATTCCTTATTTATCTACTAACAAAACCTCTGCATAACCTTCTTTTTTACGATGAGGGTGTTTTTTAAATAAAAATAAAATCGTATTAACACGTTTGTTATTACTTTCACTTACCTATATATGAAATATATAGTAAAGAATAGTATTGCGATCGTGAAAATTGTCGAATCTCAGTTTTCAACAGAAATACGCGTTTTGGGGTTCCCTGAGTTCAAATAACCAAGTCCCGCCGCAAAATGTTCTGTGTCTGTGTATGTTAACAGTCTAGCTCAAAAACGAAATGTCGTACGAAACTGATGTTACGTATTTAAGTTTTTTATATACTAGGGATGTTACAGCAACTTTTTCGTCAAAATCGGCTACCCGGAAGTGGCACTTAACTTCGTGAATCATGAATGACTAAACACTTTTTAACGATTATCTCGAAAACGGCTCTAACGATTTTGATTAAATTCATTATATTAGTGTAAAGTTAAGCAGTTTTAAATAAAATGTAGTTTTTATTCTGATTAATGTTCTCTAATGTAGCTTCATCTAAAGTACCTTTATTTTTTTTATTTGAAACAATTTACCAATTTCACGTTAATATTTAATATAAAAGATAGTTAAATATAAAATATGAAAGAATTTGATAAATAACTAAAGGAGAAATAAGAGATCCTAACGGAGAATAATTGTAATTAGGGAACCAAAGGAATACGAGCGCCAGACTTGAAAGAAACGTAGGAAATAAAATGTATCATAGTGAATGTTATCTTCAAAACAATGCTCTGATATGATAGCATAACCTACAACCTAGAGCCGCCAACAGCTCCACTGCTTCGAGAGCGGTCAGATAGGAGCTGCTTAGATATGACGTCATACCTAGACTTCTGAGCTGCGCTAACGAAATAAGTTCCTTTCTATTCAAATAAAGCAGCGTCAACCGCAAGCGGTCGCTGCCATGGCAGCGCCAGCGAAATAGTATCTTTAGGTTAAAGAACGTCATGAACGTAATCCATTTCATCTCAAGAGACGAAATATACCTGTTGATTGATTTTTCCCTTTGACACACACAGGTGCCGACAAGGCTCTTTTTATCATGAAGAGATCCAATTACGCTCTTGACACTAAAGCATGGGCCTGAATGATTATGACTTGAGTTGATTATGAATGAATGAGCCGAGAGAGAGGCTCTGGATAATGAGATTAGCCGATGCTGGGAGATAGCTCTTTGGGCAGAGAGCTACCCGAAGGGCAGGAGAACATGGCTCTAGTGGTATCGATCCTCGGTCACCGACCCTTCGCCTTCCAGTCTCCGCTCTGCAATCGATTCTAGTCTCCACGATACTCGTATATCGATTCGGGTTAACTGCCCTCTCTCGAGTCCTCTACTCTGTCCGTATTGCGGCGATAGGTCTCCAGATAGTAGCATCATTTAGTCTTCCAGAAACAATTCTGGCCTAGCTAATAAATATCATGGAGTTGTTCTTATACTATTTTATTACTTTTTACATTTTTTTAAGTGAAAACTTCTTTGGGTGAGTTTTGCACTTTCTTGTAGAAAGTGAATTAGATTGATCCTTCAGATTTCCGAAGTATTATCGTTCGGGTAAAGTCGGCTAAAGTAGACTAATTGAAATGTTTTTACATAAGAATTAAAATATCTCATGAACTAAAAATCGGGCCTGCATAATGTAAGCGAGAGTATTGTTCATTATTTCATCCTGTCCATAAGCGTCTTAATTTAATGATTAATTATCTATTTTTTTAATAATTTATTCGTCAATTACTATGGCGTTTTTATTGCTTTAACTTGTAAAGCAGGGCAGTCGGGCGGGTTGTAGGCGCCAGTATTCCTTATCAAATTATGAATATCCGCCGAAAACTTTGTGAATAGCTTCGTCTTATCGTAACGTACAGCTTTTTGGAGTGGATTAGACTGATCCGTCATATCTCCGGAGTGTAACGCTCGAGTAAAATCGGCTGGAGTCGACCAATTGAAGTTTTTTTTGCATATGGATTAAAATATTTCAAAAACCAACAATCGGCCCTGAATATTGTTAGCGAAGTAAATGTTCATCATTTCATCCTCTTAGTAATGAGTAATCAAAATTAACACGACACCGTGTTAGAGAGTTGGAAAGAAAAAAAAACGGTGTCGAAAACCAAATTATATAACGAGTTTTGTAGAAGATACGGATTAAAATATCTTAGAAACTATAATTCGTACCTGCATACTGTTAGCGAGGGAAATGTTCAGCATTTCAACCTCTTTGTAATGAACTGTTATTTATAATTTATATTTCATATTATTAATCTCACCTTGTTACTGCTTTCACTTCTATCGTGTAGTCTAAAGTACATACCTTGTTTTTTTTTACGAACAAGATAAATTTGTGATTAAAAAAAAAACTAATCAATGCGATTTCGTACGTTTCTACCTACTTTTAAGTGTTCACCAGGCAGCGTTTCTTCAACTTTTTTTCCCGTTGCACCAGGCTAAAACATATTCGCTGAGCTCTTTTAGGACTAAAAAACAGATATTACCATATTTATTCTTAAAGCAGTATTATTCTTTTCAGTCTCCACTTATCCTTTTTCAATATATGTATAATTCAAATAAAGTTTCGCCTAGGTATCATCTTAAATTAGAATGATATTAATTTCATTTCCGTTATTCAAAAAAAAAAAAAAAATGAAAGAAGAGAAATGCTGTTTCAAACCCAATAGCTGTGCAGGGAATGGATTGGGCCGAGATTACGCTTAACCATCTTATTTTCACCCTTAATTGTATATTAAATTGAGAGTACATTATAGAGGCTGGGTGGCCCCTAGGAGGGTCTTCCGATTCCAAGATCGATTCCACGCTTGATTAAACAGAAGAAATAAATATCTGGCTTGGATGGGTCCTTGAGAATTGGAGCTGATTATCTCACATACCAAAGATACTCCGTTCCAATTATTCTATTATTTATTAACATAAAATCATAAGAAATTTTTAGAATTTCTTTATACGAAATTTAAAATTTTGACCTTAAATGTTAAATTTTGAAATTAAATATTACCCCGCCATCCAGTTTGAGGACATCTGGTATAGTGGTATGGAAATAGGAGAGAATTGTGCCTTCTGCTCTACTCTCCTCAATAATCTTCTTCGGCAACCCTGATGAAGATAATGTAGGTCGAAACGTAAGCAATTAGTATTTATAATTTATCTTATTATTCCAACTATATTTTTGAAATTCATATAATTTTCTAAGTATCCTCTTTATTTCGAAGGCGAGTTCATAGTTAAAGGTTTTACTACTGGAAGAAATGACGGTGGAATTTAGAGTTCTCGAAACTGCATTCCGGCCCACGAAAGTTTCTTTGATTAAATTTTGAAATTTTAAAAATTATGTATTTTAGTATGTCACTCAAACTCAAGGTTAATAATACTGCATCTATTGTATATGCTTCTCTTATAAAACTCACTTCATAACTGAAGTGTCATTTATAGAACAGACCATCTTTTTTTTTCTATTGTGAACCCACTACTCTCGGGATTTAGTGTAGGTCACGATGTGCCCGCTTGCCAAAACATTTAGAGAAATATGTTCCCAAAATCTAATAAAGGAAAATATTATTACAGTATGAGAACTACAAACTCGTTATTACCAAACTTAAGAAAGATTCTCAGCATTAAAAAAAAATAATAATGGTCGGGAAGCAACGCGACAAAGGCTGTGAACTCTTCCGGTTCCTCATAATGAAGAGAAAGGACTGATTTTGTGAGAAATGGCCACAAAGCCTAGGACAGATGTTGCAGATATAATTTAGAAAGTTTGTAAATATAATAGTTCTGCCGGGCGGGATATTATTGGATACAGTAGGCGCACGGTTCGGCTTGACGTTGCGTGTTCCCTAAGGCAGGCTCCACCCTGGCTGGAGCGAAGTACACGATATCCCGCGATCTGCCTTGTAATTTGGGTCGCCTTTCTTCTTCTTTCTTATAAGGATATTATTATGTAGATGTGCGGTATAGAGAAGAGGAGCAAAGATCGATAGGGATGATTCGATGGTAGTAATCATAATAATAATAGATAGTATGAAGAAGTAATATTTTTGATATGTGATAACTATTATTTGTAAAACAAACGGCAAAAACAAAAGGAAAAAATAAAATAAAACGCAAAAAAAAAATCTATAAGTTGTCTTTTTTTTTATATATGATATTTACAACTGTATAACATATAATAACATGAAACCACTTGTTGAGAAACTATCCAGTGGTATCACTCTAAAAATGTATTTACAAAAGGAGATCTCGTGGCCATCTTCTTTTCAGAGGCCTCACAAGATTATCCGGGATCGAATACGAAGTAAGGTTAGAAACTAGAGGGTTTGGATGGATCTGATGGAAGTGAAAAAAAATTAATCTCAAAATTTGAGGTTTTATAATTCACGATACTTTAAATCCTAATATCGAATAAAAATAAATTCTTTCCTTCCGCATTTTTTTTTTCCTCTGTAATAATACTACGCCAATAGCTTCTATATTAGATAACAAAGTCAAAGTTTACTCGAGGATCTTTCTAACATGACAACTAGCAGCGGCCATTTTGTTTCAAAATAGTGAAAAAAAAAACATCTTTCTGCGGAGCGTAACGCCAATAACTTTGCAGCGACTTCAATGAAACTTTCCAGAAGTCTTCTTGGAGTCCTTTAAATTTATGTACATAATAATACTTTCCAAAGCAAAAAAGAAGTTTCAATGAATGCAAACCTTTATTTTCGGATTACTACAAAAATACTCACTTTTTTTTTTGTTAATTTTGTATGTTTAAAACATATCTACTTGATACAGAAATGTATGTATTTTTTAATATGTTGCGTTGCAAAGCAGATTTCTCCTATGGTTTTCGATAACTAATATTTCTTTCACTTTTAATTATATTGCATGTTATATTTTTATTTTCGTTTATATATGTTACTAACAGTTTTTATCTTTTTTCAGGTATGTTTGTCGCCCTGAAGTAACTACCATTGTTCTGTGAGTAAAGTTTACTATTCTTCATGGCAAAGCACCCTAAACATTTTACCACACTTTATTTAACCAAGTTATCTTATTTCAATGCACTTTACCAATGCGTTAAAATCACTTAATGCTTTAGAAGCTTCGCATCTCCTTATTAATATAATATTTACCAGTTAACAGAAACGTAAAAGAACACCGTTTCAATAACTGAGATAGTGTTAAACAAAACCATAGCTTTCGCAATATTATTGATCAGATTTAAAAAAAAAAAATTTATAGAAGTTAGCGTGGAAAATTCTCTTCGCGATAATCCTCCCAAAGGCTCTAAAATGAAAAGCCGACACGATCTCCAGGCGTAGATAAGATACGTGGTAATAATGCCTTGGAAGTAGTAGATGGATTTTCATAAAATTGATACTGCTTCATTTTCACAATAGTTTCTAATTACCATTTGATTTGTGCCTAATATGACGGTCGTTTTCGAATTATTAGTGTTGTGGGGAAATATGTCTGCCAGAAATGTGTATTTTGATGAAACCTATTCATCTAGGACCATCTAGGTACCAACCTAATCTTTAATTCGTATTAACACAGATAGGTGACTTTTGTCTCCTATGCATTGACTGTGGGCGATAGTGTTGTCCAAATGCGAGACCGAGACGAGTCTTGGTCTTGCGCAAGACTCTCGCAACGGTCTTGCAGTTACTTATTAGCTTATTACTACAGAGATATATTACTGTAATTGTTTAGATAGGAGAAACCTAACTAAGCCCTAAGGTTAGTTTTAATAATAATAATAATAATTTATTTATTCTGGGACGAGTCACTTTAGAATAATACACAAAGACATCAATATGGGCTAAGGAAACTTAAGATACATAAATAAAAATACAAAGTAATTAAACAGTCATAGTAATAAAATTAAATATTATAAGTCACTTTTAGTTTTAGAGGAGTTAAATGCAAAAGTATATTGGTTACACCAATTATTTACATATAGTAACTAGGATTGTCAAGTATTAGTATCTATTTTGCCTTAATTTTTATTCGAAAAATCGATTTTTTTTTACCAGTGCAAGTGCAAGTACCAAGCAAAGTGCAAGACCAAGAGCGATTTTGGGCAACACTTCTGGACGAAGCCGATATGAGTGATAGTATGTTCTGCTTCTAGTATTTGATTGGTAATTTTACTGGTAATAGTTCGTATTATTATCACTGACAGAGAACACAGTTTGATACATTTCAGAAAATGAAAAAAAAAAAAAAAAAAATACCTATAGTTTGATAATGTCTCTCCTCAGAACTGGGTGTTGCCGGTAAGTTGGTGAGATTAACAAAGCTGTGCACAAATGGCCCCAAATGTAGATTCCTAATACAAGGAGGAGTATCTGAAGCCTTCATAGATTTATTTCTATTACAAGCCATGACGGGACTTAGTGAAGGTCTGAATGTGGGTCAAAACGTTTGGAGGAGACCCCTGCCAAGACTCGTTTTGCTCTTGCGCACTCAGTCTTGATCTTTGTCTTGCTCAAGAGTCTCGCATCAGTCTTGCAGTTACCTATTAGCCTATTGCTATGGAGATATTACTGTAATTTTTCAGGTTGGCGAAACATAACAGAGCTCAAGTGAATAATGTTTGAAGAGTTAAATTCAAAAGTAAAATTGCTAAATATTAGTATCTATTTTACCTTAATTTTTATTAACAAACGATTTTTTTTAACCATCCTTGGTCTTGGTCTTCCTACAGGTTTTTTGGGCAATACTACCCCTGACCTATACCATCAGAATTTTCCCTTTTTTCAATACTGAGGCTATTCGTGTATTCCATAATGTAGCTTATATTTCTTCCCTAATCGTGTATATTATTACTTATCTGTTACAGTTTATAGTTACTTGATTTTATTTTTTTATCTTTGAGTTAAATTGAGTAAAGCTATTTAATCAAAATTAATTTTATGAGAAGGAATTGGTCAAGTGGTGCGGTCAAATAAATATTAGATTGTTAAATTAGTATTTATTTGACCGTACCCCATGACCAACTCCTCATATTATATCACGGTCCATCACCTCTACACCAAAATTATTTTTAATTTGTATAGAAATATTTGTACCAATTATGAAGGGCTACTGTATACAAACAATGAGCTTAAAGAATTAAGAATGATTATGATAAATGATGTTTGCCATAAATAAATATCATATTATTCCGAGGAATGATTAATTAGGTAAATATTTACTTTCTAAGTAGTATACATTAGAAAAAATATATATACAAACAAATCTATGTTTACGTTACCTTCAATCACCATGGGTTCATCTTGTTGAGACGTGCAGAAATGTACTTATCTTCTCTCCCTACATCCTCTTAATTTATATAAATTATTTATTCGTAGTGCTGAGCATTTTAATTAAAATATATGTTGCCGTTTCATAAATTTTAATAATATAACTACATGATGAAAATATAGCTATTAACTGTTGTGTATAAATAAATGGAAGCACTGAATTTTTATAAAATAAAAAATATTTAAATAAAATAAATTTTTAATTTATCTCACACGACGTAATTTTTATTCATTTCTGAGTATTCTTTAGTAGATAACGTACTGTTTTTATAATAAGTTTTTTTCTCTTTCTGGTTAACATTCAGTTTTTATCTTGTCATTCCTCACACTTCAGTCCTAACTCCTCAAATAACTTAGTCCAAAACGTCGGAATAAATTAAAAAAAATAATTTATTTTTGCGTGCTTCGTCTACTGTAATCTTAACTAACTTCTCTTGCTATTACAATATACAGTCAGTAATTTCTCCTTTACCATTTTGAGAGTATAGCTGCTCAACTGACGCAGAAATACCTAAAATCTTTATCCCCTTCACAAGTCTGTTGAAAAGATTGCGAGTTCTCCTGTTCCAGAGGAGGTGAGGGGGCTTAGTGGTCGATATGTTATCATATCATATTTTCTCTGTGTATAATTTGTTTCTTGTTATAAGAAGAGATGTTAGCCTGTTCGATATCCGTTGTAGCTCCCTGAGCATATCGTTGAGGAGGTTGTGGAGTTGCAACAGTTGCAGTACCGTTAGTCTGCCCTCTTATATATTGTAGTCCCTGCTCTGGCTGGTCGACGTATATATAGGTCACTGCGTCAGGAACCAGTCAATAGGAAGCTTGTAGTAAGTCAACTTTAAGATATATCTATTAGTTTAAGAAACAATAATCTAGTGCGCGCAACACACAACTTTCACTTACCCCTCGGTTTTGAATAGAAATTATTTTCTGGCTATTTTGGGCTGTTATAAAATTTTTGAAGTGCATTTTAAACGGAGCTAAAGGTTAAAGCTTACAAACAACAAACCATTAGGACCATTATAATTACTAAAAGTCTTAAATATTAATATGAATAATGAATAAAGAGTGCACACTGTTTTAAAAAGTAGTTAATACAATACAGGCGTTGTGCTGTGAAGGCGACGGTGCTGCTGCCTAGCGAACAGAGCCGCGAGTCGCCTTGTCATCCTCTTTAATGGTTCTTTTATCCACGCTAATGATAATTCCTTTTTTTCTCTCTCTTTATTCTCCCTTTCACGTCATGGCCTGCCCGAAATGGTCTTGCAGCGCATGTGCCGTTCGCTCGCTTCTGTTCGCTTTATATAGTGCCATTATGTTTCATTTTTTTTCTATTTTTAGTATTTAATTGAATCTTATTTGTTATGAAATGAACAATCTTCTAGATTGTAGTTCTGTCATATTTACGATACTGTTTTTTTTTTTTTATGATTGAACACATTATTTATCACAATATTTAATCATAATAGTGGGCTTATCAATTAGCAAAGAACAAGCTTAACAAAAAACGCTAAAACTCTAATGCATAATTTATTTTATTACATAAATAAAAACAGATAAAGTTTAAAAATCCAAAGTGGCAACCACCTGAGAATAACCTTTTTAAAGAAAGAAGTCTCATCATGAAACCTCCTTCCTTTTATGACATAACTGATATATTTTAAAATAGTATCTCAGTTTGAACGAATACAAAAGACAATAGAAAAACAAAATAATAAAATCTAACTAAATATATATGTATATTATATACATAAAGGCCAGCAAAGGACCGAGCGTATATCATTATTTCTTGGCCAAAACTTTCTTCATTTTTTCACTCATTTCCTTTTTCCGTTCTACTGTCCTTTTCCTTCCTTCCTTTTTCCTCTTTTTTTTTTATTCCGAGGGCCTTCATCTTATTCATTGTTCCTCTCTCTATATCTATCGAGGTATTCATCTCCTTTTATCTCAAATCTTACTATTTCTTCTTTGATCTTTTCAGGGTATCCTTTGATGTTATTGATTTGCAATATTGTTATTTTATATTCAATATATTATACTAAAGAAATTTATATACATTTTATTTTCTGTAAAGGCAGTCTCAATCAGCTTTCGTGTTGACTAAATATGTTAATAGTTTCATTATCATCATATATTTATTGTCTTTTAGAAAACCCTTAATTTTCGGAAGTGGATTATAGACTGTTGTGTTGGCGGACTGGTTGTTTCCTCAACACTGTATATAATTTAAAGACAAATACTATTATTAAATACACATCAATAAATGCCATCATGTAATCGCTCTGTGACGTAAGAGCGCCTTGTAAAGAAAGTTATAAATGGCGGGCCCCTAAATTATAGTTACGAAAGCCTTCGCTCATCGAGGCACGTGGGACGGACAATATGTATGTGTATATTTTTTCAGCTAAAATATTTATTTTATTGTGACTCATTTAGAAAGTTTGATAGGTTTAATAGAGTAACAGTGTAAACGCTGCAACTTTGAAATATATACAAACTACCTACAGACGTTTTATTCATACGCTTGTAAGCGCTCTTTCTTGTTCCAAAGAAGGCTCACTTTAGTCTGTTATTAGATTTATTTTTATTATAAAACAACAACATGAAAGGATGCAGTATGAAAGAAATAATAGAAGTACTATGAAGGTATTTGTTCCCCGAAACAAGAAAGATTTGTAATGAAGTATCCCAAATATTTTCAATTGATTCTAATGAGCTTTATAAATACAATAATGATTTAATATGCTGATTCCTTCAATTACTGATTATATATTGATATAGTTCAGGTATTATATTTAGGGAATCACTTTTAAAATATATATGTTTTAAATATGTTTTAAAAGTCATGAAATAGAAAAATAAAAACTTTTAAAATATACATATTTTTTTAAAAACCTCTGCCAAGTCTGAGGTTAATTATTAATGCCCGCCTAAAACTTCATGAATAACTTCATCTCATCGCTCTATCGGATCTAGGATTTAATTTTGGAGGGGGCTTCAGCCCGAAAGCTTTTCTTTTCTTTTTTCATAAAACAAACGATAATTAATTTTGAAAAAAATCAAGAAACTGACTACCTATGTGAAATGGTGTTTAAATGATTCCTGGAGTACTTTTGAATGTAATTACACAAACAATAAAACTTTAGCTGGTAATTTTAAAATACTTTTTTTCCATAAAACATGGTTATATTTTTTTATTTTGGAGGGGAGAGGGAGGCTTTGGGGCTGATGTCCAATAATAATAATACTTTAACAGATAATTTTTTAATACTTTTCCATAAAATAAACCATGTTTAAAAGTTTTATTTTTCTTGGGGCTTCAGCCCCAACCAAAAGTTTGGGTTGAAACGTTGGCAAAAATAAAAAAAAATTTAAAAAAGACTGCGTCCTGAATATTTATCGCCCTTAATTAGATTTTAAAACCTCTTAAATAACCATTTGCTTTCCACTTGGATCGTTAGATAATTTGATCACAAAAACAAGAAAAAAGGTGGCATTCAAAAATACTGGGTTACCTAAATCCATAAAATGTCAAAATAAGCGGTGGTCATAACGGCGCAATATTTTTGTAGACCACCTTTTTTCTCGCTTTTGCTATCAAATTATCTTACGATTTCAGTGGAAAGCAAATGATTATTTACGAGTTTTTAGTCCCTAATTCAATAAACAAACTTTGTCAACCTACAGATTGAAAACAGAATTTTTGTAAACAAATATTTTATATTTGTAGGTTACGATGAAATGAAGCTATTTACGGAGTTTCAGCCGGATGTTAATACTTTGACTATACTTACGACGGGCTATAAATAATTTTCTTATAATTGTCGACTAAAAAAAAAAAAAAATATTTTTTAACTTTCCGTGAAAGACATAGGTCCTATACCTTCGTTAGTTTATAAGCAGTTGTATATACTTTCCTTAGACAATAGAAATATAGAAAAAAGTTCAGAGGAGATACTTAGTCTGACGCAACAGTACTCAAACAATACTTGCAGGTATAAACGAGTGAATGTGCATGGCAGGCGTTTGACCAAAATTTCTTTTTTGATTTGTACCCATTAACCAAAGCTTGGCAAACTTTTAGAACCCAAAACAAATACACCGTCCATACGCTTGCATTTCTTTGGCATGAGAATAGATGCAATATTACAATTACAGCTATATCCGTACCCTTAGCCTCAGATGCGCGAACATCATATTTATTTAAAGCTCCCCATTGGCTGAAAGGCGGGTGTTGACACAACAGTTCTGTAACCTGATTGGAAGATGTCCAATTCCCGGTTACGGGAAGTGAGAGAGGAATACCACTTTCCAATGCCGTCCTTGTAGCCGACGTGAGCTGCAGCTTTCTGCAAACATGGAATGTTAACCAATGATTCAATCTGTGCGGTATGGTTCTGATTTCTAACCTGTAAGTAAACAAGGAATGAATAGTTCTCTTCTGTTTAGCAGAAGGTAAGGAAGCTTTGTGTTCGTGTGGAAAGTAAAAGAAAATAATATAATTATATTATTATTCATCTACGACCAAATCCATGTCACTTGACATATCACGGCCAATTTTAATAAATTCATAGAAACTGTGTTGGTTGGTATTCAACAAATTCAATTTAATACTTTCGCTTGCTCCTGTATTTCATTCGGCAGGCTATTATTTCAAAAATCTATCCTGTACTACCTCCTCTTATACGTCCGTCTCAAAAACCACACGCTCGATTTGACCCAATATCAAGGGAATTAAATTGTTCTAGTTTTAGGTTAACCTAGTTTACACATACACTCACATAAACCATTTTGCAAGAATCTGGATATTTGGATAGAGGGTACTCCAAGACTTGCATTTCCTCTGAAAATTCAGATTCGAAGTTTTTCACGGTCGTAATATTTAACCTTGATGTGAAAGCTGATTCAGGAGTTGATTAAATAGTCGTAATATTCCCTTGCTATGTGTTTCATATATAGGCAAGAGAGAGTAACTAGTTGACGGTATCAAATTATAAGCAATACCATCGCTGTAATATGTCATAGTGAGTGAACATATAGAAGGGAGGTTATAGGCAGAGATGGGCAATGCTACTCTGAGCACCGAACACCTTGTATTTCACTCAAATTAATCACTATTGGGAATTCAATCACTACTTTAGTTAATCCTTTGGCATCAACTGAAGTAGTGATTGAATTATTTGGTACTCAAAAAAGGTCAGTATTTGAGTAAAATACTTGGGACTCAGTACTCAGCATTTGCCCATCTCTGGTAATATACTATATACTATAATTAAATTTTATTTTTGTAACTGTTGTCGTTATTGTGATAGTAAGTTATAGTACTCAGTAAAATAATAATAATTAAAAAAAAATATTATAAATTTTAATTATAGTGCATTATGTTGTCGAATTCAAATGACGAGCTTAACATCTTTTGCATTCTAATTTATCATAACAACATTCGATTTAATGAAATTTACAGAGATTTATTAGTCAATATAGATTTTAACGAATTCCATCCGCTCTCAGGCGTATGTTTTCCTTGAGAAGGCTATTCGGATTTTAATCTAAAACCATAAATCATAATGCTTGAAATGTAGATAATTATGCAGTTAATATAAATTAATAGAAAGTTTATATTTGTCAACGTTCTTTTTAAATTAATTCATCGTTTAATATTATATACATACTATTGTTTGATCATGTCTTAGTCTACGTCTTCCATGTCATTAATTTTCTTTCTTTATATTGGATAATAATTTCTTTGGAATTGTTGTCCTCCATGTTTACTGGTGCCCAAAATCGTTCTTAATCTTGCACTTTGCAAGTCCAAGGCTGGTATGAAAAATCGATTTTTTAAAATGAAAATTAAGGCAAAATTGTTACTGATACCTGACAATTTCAGTTAATATGTGTAAAGAATTTATATAACCGATGTACTTTTGCATTTAACTCTTACAATTTTTCATTCGGGCTTAGTTAGGTTTCTTTTATCTAAAAAAACTACAGTAATACCACTATAGTAATAAGCAAATAGGTAACTGCAAGACTCTTGCGCAAGACCAAGCTTTGTTTTGGTCTCGCTTTGGGATAACACTATGTTATTCCTTCAAGTGCGCTAAAAGAACATAATCAGAGAAGGAGCCCGGACTATAAGGAGGATGTCCGCGCGGATTCACAAATCCATTCGTTTCAATTAACTCGAGTCATGATTGCGATATAAAGGTTATTCTTATCGTGGAAGAGGATCACGTCTCTAATATAATGGATATATCCGAAAGGTTAATTGGATTATATTAAATCCCTGGGTACTGTGAAGAATATTAAGCTATAATATTGAACAATTTCAGTATTATAAATATAAAATGAGCCGCCAGTATATTGTATTTATCGTTATATTTATATCCTTCTAAGAATAAAGAGACAAATGTAAATATGGATTGTTTTTTATATTAAATTAATTCATAAACGATTATGAGTATATGATTGAGCCCCATCATTGGACTAAAGACTCAGCACGTTAAACAATTTTAACTCTCTTAAGCTCCTCATAACTCCCTTAAAATGCATACAACCAATGCATTACAAGGGACTCCGTCCCATAAAGAAACATGTGAAAATCATAACCACCTATCTTTGGGGATAACAAAGAAAGAAAAATCAATCAATAAATGTATAGAAAATAATTACTTATATATTATATATCAATCGTCTCTGGCCATAACTGGTTAAGTCGAATAATGGTCCTTAAGAGTTCTGTAAATTGAGATTATTTTGTAAGCCTTCAAAACAGCGTAAAGAAGTTGGTAACTCACAGTACTAAACATTGTGTCCAGTTCTAGACAACAACTCTGAATTAACTAACTTCTTCGGGGTATTTAGAAGGCTTTGAAGATAATTTTAATTTGCAAAACTCGTGGAGACCATTTTTCTACTTAACTAGTTACAACCAGAGGCCGTATATATTTTACAACGAATCGAAAATATATCTAAAAATGCTCATAATACCTCATAAGTCTCAAGCCAACATAATGGAGATATCCTTCGTTTATTGACATAATAATGGAAGTATTGTATGACGTCTGCTTGCCATTTTATAATGACCAATTTGTTTTTACTTTCACTTATTTCTTCTATATTTGGCTCACAGACCTTATATATATAATTTGCCGCCTGAACAGGATTACTCCATATCTGTCTATCTTCGGATATTTGTTTCCAGTTTTTTGCATGCAGCTCTTTTGCATTTTTGTTAATTCGGTTTATTCATCTGCTTTTTTGGGTTTCTATATGGTCTTTTGCCTACTATTGAGGTATTTATTGTCGGATAGAGGCTTCCAGCTGTTATATTGTTCCGAGCTACATGTCCCGCCCATCTTAACCTCCTTGTATATAAGCCTTTCACATTACTCATCTTAAATATATTTTCTTTATTTTTTATAAATTTGTTCGTGATTTTTCATACTTAAATATGACATTGAGTTAATGAATGTATATGGTAAAAAATAACGTAAGCCGTTGTTCCGCAGTAAGAAACATCCAAAATATTTTGAGTAGAGGTTACAACAGCAGTTGGATCATACTTCTTCACCCATTTCAACTACACAATTACCCTTTGGGGAATCGCTGTAAAATATTAATAATGCGCTGTTACATTAGATAAAAATTCTATGAGGAGTGTGTGTATTTTTTTTCAGGTTTTGATGACCCTACACGTTTTCTCATTGCTACATCACGTTACTAAAAAATTCAATTTTTTCCTATTTCAATATTTAATATACCAACTTCATTCTTTATACTTACTTACAGTTTATTCCATTCTCTAAAGCTATCGATTGCGAACTATAGAACGATATCGGATTGGCTGGGTAAGAAGCATAGCGTCCCGGTGTAGGATACCGGCCACTGCTCACCGAATCTGGGTGTCCTTGGTGGGAGCAGTCGGCTGCTCTCTGTGGTTCTGAGGGTGGAGTCTTTCTTTCTTAAAGGATATTATTAAGGATGACCGACCGTTATATATAATTGGATCCTGTATTCAACTCAATGTGGCTACATTATTTTAATGAATGGCGTTGTAATCTTTTGAAAGAGAATTTAACTTTATCTTTATTATTCAAAATAGCTTTGTGCCGCCATTAAAAATTGGTCTTGGTATTACGCGTTGCATGAGCCGTATTGTGAATGACAAAATGGCTAGCTTCAATTTCAAAATATTTGAATATTTTAGTGATGGGAAGTGGGGTAGCTCAGTTGTAGGGTAATGGGCCTCCAATACTAAATGTCCCAGGTTCGAATCTCGGCTCATAACAGAAACATTATTTCTTGTTAATCCAGCCTCTATAAAGTGGGTGCCCTTAATTAAAAGAATTGATTAAGAGGAAAAATCAGGCGGTTGAGCGTGATCTCGGTCAGATCACCTCCTTGCACAAGCGTTGACTTAGAAACAGTATTTTCCCTAAATAGTACTGAACCTAAGACCAATCGTGGGTTGTACTGGTACAGGCTTTTTTTTTTTTTAATTTAAACACTGCAATCACATACTCTGGAATCAACTTACTCACTGTCTGTACAGATATTATAAATTTTCCAAGTAAAAATATCACTTCAATGGCTTTACTAAAAATTGTTGAAATTATACATTCTGTCAACTGAAAAGCTCACATAGTGCAGATTGTGTTCATTTAGAGCAATGCATTACTTCTTTAGTCGCGTTTTACACTTCTTCACTCGCGTTTTTTATGACGAGTGAATTAGATTGTGCTGCCAGATCTCCAATTTGTAACGCTCGGGTAAAGTCGACTGAATTCACTCAACTTTTTTTTTTGCATATGGATTAAAATATCTCAAAAACTGAAAATCTGTCCTGCATACTGTTAGCGAGGGAAATGTTCATCATTTCATCCTCTTTGTAAAGAGCTATTATTTAAAATTGTATCTTAACGCGACGCCCTGTTAGAGAGGAGAAATGGAAAAAAATAGTATCGAATACCAAATGATAACGAGTTTTATTGGAGATATGGATTAAAATATATCAGAAACTAAAAATCGTACCTGCATACTGTAACCTAGGGGAAGTTTTCAACGTTTCATGCACTTTATAATGAGCTATTATTTATAATTTTATTTCATATTATTAATCTCGCCATGTTGTTGTTCTATCGTATGGTCTATAGTAGATATCTTAGTTCTCTATTTCTTGGATGCTGCTATATTCCTTCAGACTTGAGGTATCCTGTTGCTAGCTGCATGATGGTGTTCTGTTCGATTCTCTTTGATAGGATCCCAGGATGCAGAGCTGTTCGTGATAAATTGGAATACGAAGAGGCGAGGCGTGTGGCTTTCTTGGTGAAAGTGGCTTTTGTGGTATCCTATAAAATGCACCTTCTTGGTTATCGTCCCAGAGGAGAAAAAAAAAAAAAAAAAAAAAAAAAAAAGGGAATAAAACCCGCTGTGCCATAGTCTGTTCGTCTCGCGCTCAAGCAACAACTATATTATTTATTCCTTCACTGCGAAATAACCTTTGCCACGTATTCCACGTATATTGTTCCAAAATATGTAAAAAAAAAAAAAAAAAAAAAAAAAAGGCCTCGATTTGATTCCATAATTATCTAAACAATTTTTTTTTCGATTTTGAGGGACTTGCAAAAATATTAATAATTTTTGAAGTAATTGTTGGTAAGTCATTCATTATTTTTTTTTTTCGATTAAGCATTAATTATTGTTTGTTTATCTTAAAATAATTATCCTTATCTTTATTATTTTTTATCGATTAATCATGACACATTGTTATCTGCAATCATATAGTTCCTCAGATTAGTCATTTTCAAAGTTGAAACATTGATAATTTTTCCTAAAGGTAAAATTTTAAGTGTTAAATCAGTCAATTTTGAGCCAATATTATTTATTTATGATTTTTTTAATAATGACAAAGTTACTTTAATTTTAATTAAATTTTAATAAATATACTTATATATACTTACTTATTTATTTTTACTAATCACCCCAACCAATTTTCTCTTCAATTATTCACTACAATCAACCATCAATCCACAAGTATAGTAAATTTTGTTTGTTTGTTTAAATTTTGTTTGGTTAACTTTGATGCAATTGTTAATTGTTTAAATAAAATATTTCTTTAGTAATCGCTTGCTATTCAACAAACGTGGCGACTTACCTAAAAATACACAATACTTGAATTTCTGCTGAAGATTGGCCCATAGTTTATATGACTTTTCTTTTTTTTTTTGTATCTCTTGACTTCCAATTTTTTATTTTCAGTTCTTGAAAATTAATGTTGATTTCTCTTGCATTAAGCAAACATTGATATATTTATCTAGTTTCTAAATTATAGTTTTATTAAGATAATACAACCTTGTTCGTCGTGACGTTCCATTTCATTTGTTCTTAAGGTCATTTTAATTTTTTTTTTCTTCCTTTTTCTGTTTCCTCGATGCTAATTGGCTTTGCTAGAAATTAGGAAAAATGAAATATATTTTTTAATTTAGCCAAAGGGTTTATCACACTGGAATAGCTCTCATACATAGTGTCTGGCTTAGGTATGGGCAATAGTCAATAGATTTCCACTATCGGAAGAATTTTCACTATCAATAGAAGAAATATCGGTAGTTTTCATAGTTTAGTAAGTTTCCACCACAGACTTAAGGACGTTAAATTTCCTCATAACCTTTATGATAATAATAAACATTTATGTTGGATGTATTCTTAAAGATTTACCTAGGTTTAGGCACTATTAAAAATTATTAAATAATGAATTAAAAACTTTATTGACGGTAAATACATTTATATAGAAAAATAAATGGCATTCATTTGCATAAATGTCAAATTCAAACAAGAAAATCTTACGACGATATATATTATTGTTTGAACTGTTTAAAGTATTCATTGATTTTTATTAATTTTTATCTTGAAGGCTTCTTCTTGTTCAATTTTATATATCGATAGGAATGTTTATAAAAACACGCCTTCATACTTCTATCCATTTATTTTCTTAATGTGACGATTCGGAACAGTTTCCATCATCAAACATTTCACTTTCACGTTGTTATTTTATGGTTATATCTCTCATATAAATAAAAGGGTAGAAGCATGGAGACGAGTTATTAATAAAATTATTACTTTAAATGTATAAATTTTGTTCATAAGTCCTAAGGAATATGCTTTTTATCTGAGGTATATAAATAAAATTTAATAACAGCATTTACTCTCCCAACAATTTTTCTTTATTTTTATGACGTTTCGGTATCACTTTCTTATCCCATCTTCAGACAGTATCTCATCCTTCTATCGTCTTATTTTTTTTTTAAATATTTGTCTTAATTTTTTGAAAATATAAATTTTTTGAATTATTTTTTGTCCATGAGGAAGTTATGAATTACTACCTATAGTCACTGTGACTATCGACAGTTTTGCAGTATCAATATATCGATAGTACGTACTGTCGACTATCGCCCATCCCTAGTCTGGCTTATCGAACGTACTTGTTATGATATTGTGGGCGGGGTGGCCGTTTGGGCTAACGCGTTGTACACAGCACCACCGTTGCCCGGCTACATGATACATGATAAATGTGATAAAAATAGTCACGAGTGCCAAGGCGTCTTTTAAATCTCCCCCCCCCCCACACTCCCTGGCCCGGGAAAACCCCGTAACGCCTTAACGGCGATGAAGGGGAGGACCCAAAAAAAAAAATAAATCTTGTTATGATATTTTTTTTAACGATCCTTGGATATTGGATACAGTATGTTGAGACGGTTAACAAGTTTGAAGAATGATAACATTACTTAAGAATGATAAGTTCCTGACAAATCTCATAATGCACGATGGTATTCATAACCGTCCCTCTGATTACATCTGAGCGTTCCATCAAAAGTAATACGTTTTTGGAACGTACTAAAGAAATAACTTATTTTATGTTTAACATTTACAGTAAAAAGCATTAAAGTATCAACTGGGCATCGGTGTGAATAATGAAGGTAACGGAACTGTTTAAAATTAAAATAACGTCATTGTTTTATAGAAGCCGTCACTTCAATCAAACTGGCTGAAAGGAGTTTTATTTTCATCGAGTTTCATAAAAGCATTCTTTTTTGACGAATCATGACGACGAAAAATGGAGTTAGAGGAACTACTACGCATTTTTAGTATTTGATACTGTGGCGCTGTGTGGTGCAGCGGTCTCATTCGGAAGTCATTTATCATTGAGGCAATTTCTGGCATGTCGTTTATAACATCCATTGTTGTTAGGTAGTATTTGCAGTCGGCAAAACAAATATTTATACAACCCAATGCAGTGATAAAAGTTTATATTTCTCATTAATACTTCTATAAGTTGCTCTTTAGAATTCTTTCTTTAGAGCTTATTTTAAAAGTAAAAAAAAAATAGTATTTTAAGGTATAATACATTGAACTAAAAATGTAATACTTACCTTTTAAATTGCTTTATGATTACTACTGTTGAAAATATTTTTAAATAAACGTCTGCCAAGTAGGGTGTGTCACATCGATTTGACAGGCTGACAGACAGACATCGAATCAAATTTGATCCTTGATGTCTGAAAAGTAAAACGCGAGTGTGAGAATTTTCGATTCTGAGCAGAAAATTTGTTTTTAACCTCGAGCGTAGCGAGGAAGCAGTATATTTTCTAGAGTATTTTCATCTAATATGGAAGTTTTTAATTCGCATATAATACGTTTTAGATTAGCTGCGGCATGACATTAATATTTTAATGTGGGCTTGCAAGTTTCCTAAATGACGAAAACACAAACACATTCAAGCATAAGTAAAGAAATTAGGTTTTTATTTTGTTTTTTTCTTCCCTACCTTGCCTATTTTAATGTGGGCTAATAAGTTTCCCAAATGACGTAAACACAAACACATACACGCGTGAGTAAAGAAATTAGTTTTTTTTTTTTCTTCCCTACCTCGCCTTTTAGGCTATACGGAATTTTCCTGGATCGAAGGGTGAAGGCGGGGAATTTAAAATCCACTCCGGCACCGTGACCCGAACTGGTACTTAAAATCTCTCAAATCTCTGTGTTTGGTTGCCAGGCAACTCGCGGTGCTGTGCATACGCTTCAGCCCATTCGGCCACCCCGCCCAAGAAATTATGTTTATAATATTTTATAAATGTAAAATAGCGTTTATCTGGTGCTTACCACAAGCTTCCTGTGACGCGTGCTCCAAAAATCAGCACTAGCAAAGTGCTCAACACTCATATTTGCCATGGTTTGGGTAATGTGTAAACACCTCCTTCATATACTCACTTACAGGATGGAATGTCCCCTTTACCGCGATGGAATTATTCGCGACCTGTTACGCTCGGAGGGCTGACCGGACATCCTTGGCTGATAGCGGGGCGTCATTTCTATTTTTAAAATTAATTCCTCTCTTCCATTCAGCTCCTCTTCATTATATATATTCTATTTCTTCTGTATTAATTAATCATTTTGGACCTGCATGAGGTGTACGTATCTCGTAATATATCACCTTAATTGGAGATATTTAGGCTTAAGGCTGTATAGAGTGAAGTTTTCATCAATCCTTCAATATCTGTCAATCAAGAAAATTAATTGAAGATCATTAAGAACTTCCTGTTTACAGTAACCTATTATTTCTTACTGCTGTGTGGTCTCTTGGACAAGGTACAAAAACTGCTGCTGATCATTAAAACTGAGCTTGGCCATTTATTCAATATTATTTATATTGAATTGTTTATATAGTAGACGTTTTCAATCTGGAGGTGGGCAAACTTTGTCTATTTAATTAGGTACTAAAAACTCGTAAATACCCATTCGCTTTCCATTTGAATCATAAGATAATGTGAACATAACATCGAGAAAAAAGTGGCCTTCAAATATATTGAGCCGTTTGGCCTGACTTACGCCCCCAAATTGTCAAAATAATGAGTTTATATAGGCCAAACGGTCCAACATATTCGTAGGCCACCTTTTTTTATCGATTTCGTGATGAAACTATCTTAAGATCCAAGTGGAAAGTCAATGAGTATTTAAGAGTTTTCAGTATCTAAATAAATAGACAATGTTTTCCAACACCCAGACGCCTTTTTAATGTTAAATGTTTGAAACGTCCCAATTCCGAGAACTTTCGTAAATAAAATATTTATAGGTTATGATGAGATAAAGCTATTTATGAAGTTTTAGACGGATGTTAAGAATTTGATTTGTACCACAGACTATATTACATCAACGATTTTCAGAATTTCTGTTTTTAATTTCTTAGGCGTTAAAAAAAAATCTACACCACTATAATAAGACCTATTTGGACATACGGAGCAGAACTTTGAGGTTCCGCAAAACACACACACAAACTTAAACAAAATTAAAATCACACAATCCAAAATACTTCGTAAAATTGTCAATGCTCCTTGGTTTATTTCGAATCACACCATACACACACCAAGTACACAACATTTCACTCTTCTACTCTCAATCATCCAAATCCACTAGTTCTATCCTTTATCTTCCTCCCTGTTACCTGGTGAGCCTCAACGATGACTAAAAAGGCAGTGGCCTAAAGATCTTCTGCTGAAAAGTTAATAAAATATCAAGAAGATAGAATAAACTCCAACACATTTGCTTGATGCGTTACAACGCAGTGGCAAATTTAATGGAAAATAAATAAATAAAATTATTAACATCTAAGAAAATACATTTTCAAAGAAATCATTCATTTTTAGCCGAGAGAGACTCCTTGAGGTGTGGTGGTGTTAATTGCTTGAGTTAGCCGTGCCTGGCTCACAGCTGTTAACTAACTTTCAGTTCTATTTTGGTAGATGTCCTAACTTACAGTGTACGGGTACGTAACATCTGTCGGAGGTTGTTTAGCGATTAACAAGGGGGTTTGCTGCTATCTTAAGATGTCGACAGTGAGTGCGCCTAAAAAAAATAGTCTCACTGGAGTGTGATATAGGTAGCACTGATCCAGGGGACAGGAATAGCACCTTAACAAAAAAAATCCTTTTTTACAAGCGCCTCACTTAAATATTTTTATGTAAGATGTCGTTTAGGACCCATTAAAAAAAAAGATGAAAACAATCCTCATTATTTATTCGTAGCCGACGTTTCGACCCACATGGGTAGGTATCATGAACCAGGCTAGTGTTAAGCTATTTAGCCATTGCTGCTCCGCCCTGAAGTGAAAACGTTTGCGACCAATTATTATCTGCCGAAATGATTTGGTAATTCGCTGTTTAAATAAATTTAAAGTACAGATTAATTGATCCAGATTAGTTATTTTATTAAGTTTGTGCGCTTTTTGGCGTGGGTAGCTCTGTGGTCGACTGTGCTCCTATGCTCTGTGTCCCGGGCTAGTGTTCGGCTGTGGAAGATAATAATTTATTCCGTTAAACCAAAATTACGATTAGTCGACCCAATTTTATTTATATATGTTTTGTGTTGGCTTACAGATTAAAAATGTGGTAGATTTTGGAATAGAATTGTAACAACGATTGTTAGAGAATTACTTGGTCGATTTATGATTGTGCCCGGGTATTTCTACTGAAAAGTGTTGACTGTTAACTGTCAAGAACTCATAAAAGTATTAGCAGTTTTAGGAGAGGAATATGCATATAATTTGATTTATTAGTGATAAAGCTATGTTTAATTAGCCCCTTGAAATTGATTACTGGAACTTAATGTCAGCCAGCAGTTCAAGTACCTCGGATACTGGCTATCTTCAAAGGGAGGTAGTGAGGTTGACATCGAACATGAAATAAATAATGGGAAAAGAATAATAAGTTCGATAAATTCAATCCTATGGAGTAAAGAAATAAGATTGGAAACTAAAAAGAAGATATACCATTCCTTTGTAGAAAGCGTAGCCACCTACGGATCAGAAGTTTGGACAATGACAAAAAAGATGGAAAATAAGTTGTTTTCCATGGAAATGGATTATGGAGAAGAAGCTGTGGCATATCTAGAATCAAGCGGATCCCAAGAGAACATTCTTCACCTGATTAGGACCAAAAGGTTAAAGTGGTATGACCGCTTAATACGGATGGATGAGAACCGCTAGCCAAAGAAAATTTATATCTATATGCCACCTGAAAGAAGGAAGCGTGGAAGGCCAAAGAAGAAATGGACAGAGGACGTGGAGGAAAGCATGGCAGCCATAGGGCTTCGTGAGGGAGATTGGATGGACAGGGAGCAGTGGCTTTTGGGTTTGGGGATATGACTCCTTAAGTTGTAGAAAACCCAAATAAATAAAAATAAAGCTATATTTCATTTATCGTCCATGTTAGATTAGGTGCTGAGGCAGAGAAATTTTTCGCAGAAAGGAAGTGTTTTAGCATTTAGCCCTATCCTCCTTATATCACTAACACTGCACCGTCGGTCTTTTGACGTTTCTGGTCATGGTGCAATTTTGAAAGGACGCTGGTACCTCGAAAACCAAATTCTGGTATCTCAACTTCTGGCAGAGAGATGGGTTAGAATAATTGACTAATATTTTAAAGAACAATTTCAATATATACATTTAGACAGGAATTTAAATAAAACTTAATGATTTTTGTAACAACTAAGTTAACCGCTGGTGTATTATCCTCTTTAGTGCTGTAAATCCCGTCGTCCCGATCGACCTATCACAGCCCGCGGCCGTGTGTATCGCCTTGACCCACTGACTCCTAGAAAGCGATAGTGCGGCCGCAGGAATAGACAATAGTTTCTGTACCTCTCTGACCAAGGGCGGTCTGCGGTATAGGCGTGGGCGGGAGGGGAGGATTTGGCAAAGGACAGGAAGGCCATTGCTGGGGTTGTTGTTGTTAGATGAAGAGGTTGAAGTGAAGGGGACCTTGAGGTACTCACTCCATAAGATAATGATCATCATGGTTCGGAGGGAAGAAGAAAGGAGGAGGATGAAGAAGAAGGATGAGAGGGTCCCTCAAAGGAAATTAGTTCTTCACTCTCCTTGAGGGTCGGGGTGGTGGTGTGGTGTAATTATATCTATGTCTACATGTCTAGACTTGGGATAGCCATCGGTTAAGAGGATATTATCGAAATATCTATATTTACGATATTCGATATTTTAATTAAAATTTTTTTTAAACTATATTAAGATATATTACAGTCTGTCACATTTAATAATAATAGTAATAGTGATAAAGAGTAGCTCACACTATGCACAGTAAATAAAAATAAATAATTAGCAAAATAATAAATCTAAAAGTAAATGTTTATAAACTGAAAGATACTAAGCTAAATCATATAAAAAGAAACTAAATCATAATAACTACTTATATACACATATGCCTTTATACAATATTTACAATATTCATTCACTCAAGGTCTCCAGCCAAGTTTTTCCCTTCACTTGGGGAAGGAAAAGCAGGTTTATAGGAGATCCCAGCGCCTGTCACTCAACCACATCATTGGTATTAATTGAAATTAAAACTATCGTTTTCGGAAAGTGCTAAGAATTATGTATGAATCTTGTCGTTAAAAAAAAAAAAGCGTAACGATAGCCATATCGCCTGTTCCATATATAATATAGTGCGTAGTAGAAGTGCGTAGAACACGACCATCGATCACAATCTCTTAGTAGAATTGAATAGCGCGCATGGAAACCCTTTTCGTTCAGTAAACTCAATTTGCCCAAATTCGTTTGTTAGAACCTTCTCAAACCGAGGCAACGAATCGTCAAAGAAATTTATTTAGGATGCAAATAAATTAGCATTTCGCTGAATCCGATATATGGATGAATTATGGAATGGAAGGCCATAGAGAATTATGAAAGTTACATCATATTTAGATAAAAAATTATAAACAGTATGAATAAACTTATTATAATTATAAACAGTACAATAAAATATTAAGAACAATAAGTTGTATAAACATAGTAAGCTAAGTAACAAGACCCTACACTGAAGTAAATGGATGGTAACAAATGTTGTTAATATATACAATATGTTGTTATAATATATGCAATTGTGAATATACTCCTACAGATCTACTGAAGGGATTGAAAGAAAAGTAAAAAGGGTATAATATAGGGATGTATACACATCGACCTAAAGGGATGTGGAGATTATTATTCGTTATTCCCTTTAAAAATGTCTTAATGTTTTTTGTAAAAAGGCACTCAACCATTATCACATATGAAATCGCTACATAACTTAATGAAATTAGGGTTTATCCACTTTTTATATTTAATATGTTATTTATATTTAAGTCCGCCGCGTTAGCTCTGCGACGGAGCGCGCCAGAGCTGGATCAATAGAGACCTGTTTGAAAGGTGAATAATAAATGTCCAATCCAGAGCCCCACTCGAGGGGTACTTGTGTTAGCGCCGGCTAGTGGATGTCCATGGTTTGTGGGTTTTGTCTGGGGTACAGCCCGCGGCGAACGATTATACCCGTTCTATGGTTCGTCAGCCGGCTACATTAATACCAAAGCAGGATGGGAACTGGTCCCCGGTGGTTGAAGGCTTTACGAGGGACTCTATC